ACAGGATGTGGTAAATCTATTCAGCCCCTCTTTCCTGTATCAACGGAAGAAAAGGGGAAAATGTATATGGAAGGCAGTGAGAGCAGTTACAGTATGGACTATTTGGGAGGAAAGAAACCTAAGAATCTTTTCAAGAAAAAGCAAAACAATGGAGGAAGTTATTGAAGCCATAAAAATCAGAACTGCACATTGGGTGAAGACCATTGAGATATTTAGAAACTACTCCACAAATGAGATACTAAGGAATTGGGCTGAAATAACACAAACAGATGTACCCAAAGTTCTTGTAAGCATGGAATGGAAGCCACCAGCATGGAACAAACTAAAGTTGAATTTTGATGGGAGTTCTCTTGGCAACCCTGGAAGGGCAGGCATAGGGGGTGTGTTTAGAAATTATCTGGGTGTGGTGGTGGCACTCTACTCTGGACCAATAGGTTATGATGACTCAATATAGGCTGAATCTCTAGCCCTACTTCAAGGTCTAAAGATGGCTGAGCAGATAGGAACAACAGATTTCGAAATTGAAGGAGACTCTCTATTCAGCACATTGGAAGCTCAAGTTTATTTTCAGAGAAATTGACACACTTGCAAGGAAGTTCAACTCTCAGTTTGGTTGGGTTAAAAGGGATGCAAATGGGATAGCGGATACCCTAGCAAAACAAGGGGCAAATAAATCTTCATTGTATTGGGCAGAATTGTAACTGATTGCTGGAGATTGCAATTTCCTATGCAATCTTTAGCTATTGTATCTTAATCTCTCTGTTATTAATGAAAGATTTTTACTGATAAAAAAATTGTTACAAGCTACATTTTTTTTTTCTGATTTTCTGCAAAATTTCTGCAAATTTCTGCAATATTTGCAAATTTTCTGGTATTTTCATGCATTTTCTATACTTTTATTTTTATTAGGGGTAAAATTGGAAATCATGGCTGATTCTAATTCCAGACTCTTAATGAACCAAACAGCATTAATCAGAATCTGATATCGGTTCCTGTCTGAACCAAACAGGTTGGGGGAATAGGCCATTCCGATTCTGATTCCGATCGCAAACCAATAGTTTCTACTTCTCCTTCTTCTGGCTGAAGCTTGATCATAACTTATTTATTTATTTTTCTTCTGTTTTCTTTTTGTTCTTGCTCCAACCTGTTATTGAATAACGACACCTTGAATAGTTTGGCCGTCAACCCCTTACTGTGCTTTAAATCCAATGCACCAACTTCTAAGTAGGAAATCAGCGGCTTCAGCTATGGGGCTATGAGTATGAGCTACTGGGCCTTGGCTGCTGCTAGCTTTTCTTTAAAACTCAGTTTCTTGACAAATAAATATTTAATACTGTTATAGTGTAATTCTATCTTGGCTACTTCAGCATCAGTTTTATATGAATTATGAAGTTTATATTAAAATTTAAAGATTAAGCAGAATTTTAAAGCTTGCTGTTAGTATCATCGTTCATTGGAATCTGGCTATTAGTTTAAGTTCTTAATTTAAAGCTTGTTGTACTGTTAGTATTAGTTAAGTTCTTAATATAATGTTTTGTTATTAGGAATTTCCAATTATAATTATGAAAAAAATACATGCTTGAGCCTTGAGACTTATGCCTCCTTGCACTTGGGAGTCTTACACCTCTTGTGTTCTGAACTACGCCTCACGCCTTTAGGCAGTGGAATGCCTTGCACGCCTCTGTGTTTTAAAACATTGGTAACAGCTGAAGTTGCTGAACCGGAGGACTTATTGATTTGCCTTTTAATATGGATAAAATAATTAAATAATAAATAAGAATATAATAATCTACCAAACTTCAGTTTCAGCCATTAAGGAGCCCACAAGCTCCTTAAAAACTCCATTAAAAGACAAAGCAATAAGCAATAAGCTTCAGCTGAAGTTGCTGAAGATAAGCAACTTTTTTAATGTCAATATGTTTTTTGATAATTGAATTGTGATTTTATTAATCAAGAAATGAGAGCTAGTACAGGCATCCCAAGGAGAGGCACGAGGTGCGACCTCTCCCTAAAAGAAAATTACAGAAAAAAACAGTAGTGAAAAGATTACAAAGCCGTCCATTATATGCTTTCCCTATTAGCCCCTTGTTTGGCAAGACAATCGGCCAACACATTTTCTGACCTTCCCACCTAGTGTAGGCTAATATTCATGTTCCTATTTAGCTACTTAGCTTTCTTTAGATGGTCCCTGTAGCACCAAACCACTGAGTCTGAACCTGCCAGCCACCCCACAACAACTTTAGAATCTCCTTCAAGTATTAAATTTTCCACCCCAAGTTGATGTGCAATTTGAATACCTTGTAGCACTGCTAACAGTTCAGCTCTATTAGAGTCTCCCACACCCACTAGGCCAGAGAATAGAGCTAAGGTGTTATAGTCCTCATCTCTCAAGACCCCTCCTATTCCAGAGGGTCTTGGGTTACCTTGACTACTTCCATCAGGAGAAGGAACCCAATCTGCAATTACCCCATCTTTCCTGGAAGAGCAAACTGCTATATTGGTACCACACATTATATCGGGAAGCTTGGATATAGATACGAATATGGATACGCGTGGATACGGTAGAAAGATATGGATACACTTGGATTCCTTAGGGAAATTTCTTATAAATCCCACAAATACATCAATAATACTAAATGTAAGGCTGAAATAACTATAAATAAGGTAATTCATAAAAAAAAACTATAAATAAGGTATAAACACATGATAAATGCACATTTTAATAAATTATATTAAGAGATACATTACAATCAACCATACTGGGAGTTTAGAACATGGAGATATCATACAATAACTTTACTAATAATATACCAAACAATGTTTGAGCTTCCATCTATGATAGATCATTGATAGATCCATCATATAATTCTCTCTTACCATGAAAATCATTTGAAACATATAAAATAAATGTTTTTTTTTTTATTTTTGTTTTTCCTAAAATTAAGAAAAAAAGTCATTTTTGACATAAATTATTCATAGATCATTGATGGATCCGTATTTATTATTCTTTATTGCAATGAAAATCATTCATAACATAAAAAGTAATACTATTTATAATTTTTGGACTTTTAGTAGTGGTCATGATAGCTGCTAAAAGTTTGAAACAGCATCGTGTTGTTTCACTTGTGCCATGTGCCCATGACTTAAGATACCAATACAATGTGCCCTATATCAGATGTATGGTGTCAATATTTTGAACCTTGGTTCTTAGTTCATAAGTTTATAATGACAAAATGATTGTAGCCATTACTTAAGATACAAATACAATATGCCCTATATCAGATGTATGGTGTCAATATTTTGAACCTTGGTTCTTAGTTCATAAGTTCATAATGACAAAATGATTGTAGCCATTACTTTCTAGTATAGAGTTTGATGTATTTGATACCTCCCTTCAACCAGTTGACATGATACTTGTAATGTGCTATGTATTTTCCTTTCTATTCTTTTCCATTCTCCACAAATCAAGTAATTTTGATTATAATGTTTCCAGCATGATGATTTTCTGGATACATGGGAATTTTTGCCATTTCTTGTACTGATTTGTAAAGGATGGCGTGGCAGTGCTTCAAATTTAGGAAAATTTATCCACAAATAAATGGAGGAAACAGATGAAAGTGGATATCCAAAAAGAACAGTTTTTGTGACTGTGGGTACAACTTGTTTTGATGCCCTTGTTAGGGCTGTTGACACTAAGGAAGTTAAAGAAGAATTGTCAAGGAGAGGCTATACTCATCTTCTTATTCAAATGGGTCGTGGGTCCTATATCCCCACAAAGGTATTTCTTTGAATCTGAACTCCACCATTTGGTCTATTTCCTTAATTATTTTCTTATATAATAAATATAAATTAATGGTCTCAAAATCTTGAGGACAAAAATGAGAGAGGCAGGATAGAAGCTTTTTTTTTTTTTAATAAATGACAGAATCTGTTCATAAATAAATTAATAGTCACCGTCAAGCATGACCAGAGTCAGCCACCTTTCTTCTGGCCCTTTAGGCGTGGGGGACTCCACTAGGGCAGAACTACTGGCTGCCCTTCAAGGGGTGCAACTTGCAGTACAGTCAGGAGTGCAACATCTATTAATAGAAGGAGACTCCAAAGTGGTTGTGGGGTGGGTACAGAACCCAGATTCTGTGACTTTGTGCTTTATGAATGAACTTAAGAAATTTAAGTGGCTGACAAGGAACCTGTGTGTCAGAAAACAGTGGGTGGGGAGATCAGCTAATGCTATGGCTGATAATCTAGCCAACCAAGGGCAAATAGGGAACAATTGTATTGGGCATATTTGTAATCTGTTGCCGATTTGCTTGATTGGAGAGGTAACAGCTCATGCCTCTCCATGGATACTTGTATCCTTTATTATCCTTATTTTAATAAAATTCTAATCATTTTTCAAAAAAAAGACAAGTAGGCGGTAGAATGTCCTACCTCTTCAAATTACATAATTAGTCAATGCTTTAAGTCTTAATGACCAATAGATTACTTCATCATGCACCTACTCCCAATCTTGCACACATCTGTGGCTGAGAGAATGTACTTCCTGTAATTATATTCCCTTACATGTTATTTCAAATATTAGTGTTTTTATGAACAAAAAATCTGTGTATGAATTGGCTGCTTGATACACATCTTATATATTATGGCTTTTCCCAGCATCTCCTATATGTCCTCGCCCAGGAACTTATATCAGTTATCAGGGGGCAGAGTATTTTATAGGTAGCATTTTTAGATGTTGGTTTTGGAAATCAGAAAGTTTTAGAAGTTCTGTTGTTTTCTGATTCATAGGTGAACTATGATTTATTAGCATCTATTTTTCAGTTATCTTGACCCAGCAAGGGTAGTTTTCCAGCTTCTACCTCCATAATGACCAATAACTCCCTGTTCTTGAGCAGTGGAGCTTCTTTCCTTTATTGGAATTTCTTTCTACAAGGTCATGCTAATGAGTCAAATCCAGTAGCACCAAAGGAATAAAAAAATCATGTAGAGTAAGGGTAGTCTTCTTAAGCACAAAAATCCTGCTTAGTGGTATTGTATTTTCCAACTTCAAGCACCAATCATCTTGGGGCATATGTTTAAACATTTCACAAAGACATACAGAAAAAAGGTCAATATGGTATTTCTTGCATAAATATAATCATGCTATTTGTCAAAAATATCATAACATGAACAGAATAGTGCTGGATGATATAGGCTGCAAATGGATTGGGTTGAATCAGATATAAGGTAGATCCTAATTTGAAATTTGATTCATTTATTTTCAGATTCCAATTGGATATTATCTGTCAGATTTTTATGGGATTTAAATTGAATTGAGATTACAATCAAATATTGCACAATAACCATAAATAAATACATAACCAATTCCTTGAAAATAAGAACCAAAAACAAATGAATAGATAAAGGAAGTAAACCAGTCAATTCATTTAAAAAAAGTAGATTTTTTTTTTTTTTTTGGATCAGTAACTGTGAATTGTATTAAGATTAAGAAAAATTACAAAGCAAGGGGGCTAAACAATCTTAGCTCCCTAGAACAAACATTGAACACCAAAATACAATTATAATACGGCCCAAAATATAGAGTTTCTGTTCACCCCTTGCCTAGCTAGACCATCTCCCAGTGAGTTTGTACTTCTCTTTACCCATTTGTACTGAATTTCAATATCCTTAGTCAGCCACTTAAATTTTCTCTTTTCATTGCTGTAATTCCATATCCTAGAGTTATCATCTTTTAACCAGTTCACCACAACTTTCAGAGTCTCCTATGATCAGCTTACTAAATTGCATATCCTTGACTCTTTGTACCCCTTCAAGAGCTGCAAGTATCTCAGCCCTCAAGAGATCTCCCTCCCCTATTGGTCCAGAAAACATAGCTAACAGATTCCCATGTTCATCTCTTATTGCTCCTCCTATTCCGGATGGCCCTGGATTACCCATACTGCTGCCATCAAAATTCAGTTTAATAAAGCCATGAGGTGGAGGAATCCAACAAGAGTTTGATGCCTTCTTAGCTGAAGCTTATTTTGCAATCTCCTTCTAGTTTCTTAGCATCTCATCTACTGAGAATTTTGCAAACAATGCCAAAGTTTCCAGCCAATGTATCACCCTAATATGGATGACCTCCAATATTACTTCCAAGCTTCTCTCCTTTTCTGAGAAGATCCGTGAGTTTCTCTCCTCCCAAACAGTCCAACAAACTGCAGCCCTCATACATCTCCACATAATCTTGGCCCTTTTTGTTGGCCAACTCGGCATGGAACTGAATAAACTTTGCACATTCAAAGGGGGGGGGGTCCACCTGCACCCAAACAAAGAAGTACACCATTCCCAAATGACTTTAGTAAACTGACAGGAAATTAGTAAATGGTATTCAGACTCACCATCAGCTTTACAAAGAGCACACCAATGAGGACACAAACAACTATTGGGTCTTTTTCTTTGAAGTAAATCACCTATATTAACTCTTTCTAGAAAGGCTTCCCAACAGAATCTCCCAACCTTTGGAGGTATAGGAAGACACCACGCCTCTTTAATAGGGAAGGACAGACCCAAAGAAGAAGGTTGTGTTAGGGCTTTAAAGAAAGAAGCACATGTTAAAGAACCCGAGGGGGTAAGTGTCCAAATTCTATTGTTTGCCTTTGTTGGCTCTAGGAGGAAGGTGAAAGAGCATCATAAGACACATAGTTAGTGATAGGATACTTGCTACATGTCCTCTTCCCTTTTCGAATGGCAATAGGAAGATCAAGGTTAGAATCAATAATAAGATTGTCAGGAGGTTCAAGATTACCTGAGTCTGGGGAACCAGATTGTGATGGCCATTCTACTTCAGGAGCCACCCTCTTACTATGCCTGATGAAAAGCTGCTGCCAGGACCAAGGTCGATACACAGGAGGAGGAGGAAGAGGAATAGAGGGAGGAACAGGAAGGCAGAAGGGAGTCCGATCTTCACTTGCATTCTCCCCCTGAAGAGAAGGACATGATGACTGGAAAAAGGAAGAGGATTCCAAAAAGGTAACATCCTTAGAGACATATCTCTTGCCAGAGAGAGCATCAAAGCATCTATAGCCTTTCTGGGCTGGAGAGTAACCAAGGAATACACATTTAACTGATTTAGGATCAAACTTGCGTTGGAAAGGATTCATATCATGAATAAAACAAGCACAACCAAAGACCTTAAGGGGTTGATTAAAAGGAGGTTCATTAGGGAAGAGTAGTTGATGGGGAGAATGAAGGTTAAGGACCCTTGATGGGAGTCTGTTAATGAGATATACAACTATCTCAACAGCATCACCCCAAAAACGAGTTGGAACATGAGTTTGGAACAGTAAGTCTCGAGCAACTTCAATCACATGCCTATTTTTTCTTTCAGCCACCCCATTTTGTCGTGGAGTATGACTACATGAACTTTGGTGAATAGTGCCCCTGTCTTCAAGAAATCTATGCAAGTGATGTTCAACGTATTCCTTGGCATTGTCAGATCTTATTATCTTAACTCTTTTCTCAAATTGTGTCTCAATCATATTCATGAATTTTTGAACTATCATAGGAACTTCATCACTACTTTTCATCAAATAAAGCCATGTATACTGACTGTAGTCATCAACAAAGAGAATGAAATATTTGTACCCCCCATATAGGGGACAACATATGGGCTCCAAACATTAGTATGGATCAAGTGGAAAGCAACACTATTTCTTTTACTGCTTGCAAAATATGTGTTTCTACATTGTTTGGATAAATGACAAATTTCACATTCAAAATTCAATTTGGACATAGAATTAAACAAGTTTGGAAACAAAAACTTGACATAATTGACAGACATATGACCAAGGCGACAATGCCATAATTTCAAAAGACTCATTTTCTCATTGGAACAAGACTCAGTCTGGTTTGACAATCCATGCACTGAAGGTCCATCCAGGAGGTAGACACCATCCACTTCATGCCCACTCACAATCGTCTTCCCTGTGCTCAAGTCCTGAAAAATACAATGGTTGGAAAAAAGGTCACTAAGCAATTGTGGGATTTTGTTAGAGAATTAACAAATATATATATTTTGTAGTTGGGGCGCATGTAGAACAGAGTCAAGAGAAAGGTTATTAGTGATTCTGGCTTCACCCTGACCCGAGATTGGGGTCTGAGATCCATCAATAATAGTAATCTTGCCCTTCCCCGGGGTTAACTTATATGAGGTAAAATGTGAAGGCATACCAGTCATATGGGCACTGGCCCCAGAGTCTACAATCCATGGGCTAAAGGACGTGGAACAAGCAAGTGCAGTACCTGTCTTGGCATATGAACTAGATAGATTACTAAGTCCAGAACCAGATGAGGAGGATGTACCACCATTCTCTAGTTGCAGCAATATATTCCTGAGTTTGTCCATCACATCGGAGGAGTCAAGCACATCTGAGGGCTGAGCATCATTACCAACTGTAGCCAAGTGAGCATTACCCTTCTTCTCGGTTTTGTATTTCTCCGGCTTTAGATGATGATTGAGCTTCCAACACCCTTCTTTAGTGTGTCTTGGCTTCTTGTAGTACTCACAAATAGCATCCTCGACCTTCTTTGCAATGGGATGTTTGCTTGGGTCGAGATGACATCAAGGCATAATGATCACTCACAGAGGATTGCATCATGGCGGCTCTTCGACTTTCTTCCCCTTGTACAAGAGAGTAAGCAGTAGCAAGAGAGACAATGCCTGCATTAAGAATGTGTTGCCTGGTGAAATCAAACTCTGGGTTTAAGCCTGCCAAAAAATCAAAGACTCTATTTTCC